ACATGGACAAATATTTAATTTGCCTGAACAGCAAGTGAAAATACTTTAAAAATATACCATCATATCTATGGTACCATCATTTTATCACTGATACGATAAGATAAAAAATAAAAAAAAACTTAAGTAGCCCTATACTAGGACATTTCTGAATATGCTCATTGAAAAACAAAAGCAGTAATTACCCGTCCAGCAGAAATACGTTATGGGTACCTTCTTTGCTCTAGCTGTAAAACAGAACGGTAACATGTCTGCTTGGAACTGCAGCACCTTGAGGGAGAGTCTTGGCTCGCACATTGAGTGCAAGGGCAGAGTATGCGCAAGTAGGAAGTAGACTGACAGGCAGGTAGGCCATTCAATGGTTTTGCTTAGGACAAATAAAATTGGTCAGGGATTTTTCAGCCCTGCTGCTGCCACAGATGACAAATATTTTATTTATGCTGTCAGTGCATTTAATGTATTCATTGCCATCTGGGTAAAAAGAGAAATTCAAGAAATGTAACAAAAAAATGCTTCCGGAAGGAATCACCAACCCTTTAAGTCCCTCCACCATTTTTGCTTTTTCCTCACCAAGTATTGTTCACATGTAATATGTAAAACTTTTTACACCATTTTTCTTTGCAAATGTAAAACATGTAGTGTCCAAGAGTCCAAATAATTTAAAGTAAACAGAGAACGCAAATGACAGATTTGATAATGGATTTGTCTAGCCATGAACCTTAACACATGGGTATTTTACAAACTTGGAACCAGATTTAAACTAGCGCTGCCCATCAGAATACATTCTTACCCTATACCCCACCAACTCATGGCTCATTCAGATGTGAATCAAGCAGCAGTGCATCTTGGTCACTTCCACATATGTTTTTGTTGCTTGTTACAATCTGACAGTTATAAAATCAGCTCAAGACGTGACTGTGTCTCACAAGCAGGCACACCGTTCTCTGAAATGAAGTCAAACAACTCCAGACAAGAACAATAGAGTGGCAGATCAAACTCTGGTGCACACGCAATGGTAAAGAAAGGAATAATCCACCTCATGAAACCCATTAGCCCTCTCCCTAATGATAATTTCCTTCACACGTGGTTTTTACCTGCTGCTGGATGCTCATCAGCATCCTGTCTCTTGTCATTCCTGGATAGGTCATCTGCCTGTCCTTGCCCTACCACCAGAGAAGCCAGCTGTTTTTGTCCTTCTGCAGTTTCCCAGGAAACTGACTGCTCAACATTGTAGCCTAGGGGGGCAGGGGGCTGGTAACGGTATCTGTAGCCAAAGGCACGCAGGTGATAGGTGTAGTACTCCAGTAAATACATGTTTGAAGCACTCATATAGTGGAAAGACACCGACACATCCGAGCAGCAGTTTGGACCCTGGAAAAAAAATTTAATATGTGGTTATGCAACATGACAGAGACATGGGGTAACATCTTCTATTTGCACAAAACAAGTCTCATTAATTGTAGGTAGCATGAAAGGGAGGACATCTGTGAGCTTATCACAAGGCAATACATCCAGGAAGTGGCTCCACCAATTTCACAGCAAACAACCTGAAGATTAACAAGGCTAATTTTTGTCAACCTCAAGTTGATACATTCTACTCAAATGCTAAAACTGCATCATACCAGTTAATACTGCATCAAGAGTAAACAGAACTACCACAAAGCTTGTTGCACTTGCCTGTGCGATAGGGTAGTAGCAGTAACTCCAATACCAGGTGGGGAATATGGCAGTGAGCTGCTGCTCAGGTACAAAGGGGTGAAATGTCTCTCTGTACACAGTGTCTCTGGAGTCTCCTGCCAACACACCAACTAACTCCAGGCACTTGCCTATTGCCAGGTCCTCTACAGGGTTAGTGTGAGTGCAGTCTTTGTTCTTAAAACCTTCTACAAATCGCCGCAGAGCCTCTTTGCTCAGGACATAACCCGCCCCACCACTCATGTAGCCCTGCTTGATGTATGGCTTGAATCTTCGACCAAAGTAAACCGGCTCATCTGGTGTGTGGTTTGCAAGAACCCACCGCAGGTTGTCTACGATTACGTAGGTGTCGTCATCTGCCTTGAGGAACCAGTCAGCCTCATGGATGTGATGTTCATAGACATAATGAAAGGCCCGAATTGTTTTCCAGTAGAGTTGATCCCGACCCTCCTTTGTACCTAATCCCACTGTGGGGAAGTCAGGGTCCTCCTCAGAGCTCATGAAGATTACAATATTGCAGTGCCGACTCCACGTGGATTTCACATGCTGAGCCTTTTTCTCCAGGTTGCTGGGTCCAGTCATAACCCAGCAAAGAATACGCACCTTTTTGTACAGTTCATCAGCCATGCGACTATCCTCCCCTGGTAATGAGATATGAACATTAACAGCATAGAACAGAACATTGCAACACTATCAATATCCACTGTACATCAAAGGGAAAAAGAAGAATACAAATAGGGACACTTCAACCACTGGTTGTTTAAAGGCCGGACACTTCAACCACTGGTTGTTTAAAGCACTCAAGGCACCAGGCACTCAAGTAGATGGTTAAAACTAAAAAATCAAAAATATGTGTAAGCACTACTGGTGTAAAGGTACAGTATTTACAGTATACCAAGCCATTTCAGTAGAGGGCATTAGGTTTGGTACAGGACCTTCAGTACTGTATAGATGTGTACCAAATGCTAACTTTGATGGTAGTTAACAGTAAGCTTGTTTTGCATGCAGAACATTTTTTCAAATCCCTCATGAACAAGTGGTGGACCAGAGCACAGTATGCTTAGCTTAGCCAAGCCTCTGGCTAGAGAACATCATGGCCAATACAAACAAGAAGCCAGAGCTACCAGATCCTCCCTTATTATTAAGGTGGGAACACTTCAGCAAACAAGGACAAGAGAATGTCTCATTTGTTTATTGTAATGAACTCTACCACTGAACAAACATTACATGGCAATCGGGTAAATGTTGGCAACACGACAAACTTCTTAACTCAAATGAACTGACTCCATACAAATATGAATGTCACCTCTATAAGGAAAACGTGAGCGTAGTGCACACCCTGCTTCCGTCATCATTTATACAGCCTTTCCCTGATTATGCATCGAATATGCATCAGGAAATTAACATATTACCCTTCTGTGGGAGACCACAAAAGCGTTTCATCTGTCCATGCAGCACCTGCTGCATCAGCCTTGCTCCTGCTGCTATCTTTAGAGCTATCACTCTTAGCTCTCTGTCTGCATGACTACATCCCAAGCTTCTTGCGTGCTAAATATTTATGCCATTTCGCCAACTAATACTACTCTCGCCAAACAATGTCCAATTTTGTTTGGGTTCTTGCTTCTCATCTTGAATTGTTTATAAAATAGATTGCAGGCTCATAAGAGAAATGCCTTATGAAGTCCGACACGTGCACGCACGCAAGGACGGACACGTGCATGCATGCATGCACGGACGGACATAGACTCATGGAGTGCACATGAGCAAATCCGAGCAGAAGACGAGAGGAGACAGATGAGCCCAGAGGACTGAGCCATGCACGAATGCTGTTAGTTTTGATTCAGATCTTGAATTATAGAACACATAATATGGCTTTCTAAGACAAAAAAAACCAATGAAGTTGGACACAGACACACCCATGTGGTTGGTTTTACGCAGCTAGAACCACGTGCGAATGCGCGCACAGACACAATTACGTGAATGCAAACAGAGCACACACACAAATCATATTGATATAACACACAATAGTGAATCACACTTTATCGGCGAGTCAACATAGCTAACGAAACGTTAGAATTAGGTACTCGACCGAGCTGAATAAAATTAGGGTTGACTGGAATAAAACAAGCTGTTTGAGAAAAATAACAGACTGTAAAGACGGTATTAAACGGTGCAACACCGCTGCATAAACTACATCTAAGTTATCTGACTGCAGTCCCCTCGAGAAAATAAGCTATTTCCGGTCGAGTATTTCAAAAGAAAGCGCAGTGTTGTTCAAAACAGACGTGTCCGCCTGCACAGAACAGGTTTTGCAGATTATGCGATCCTGCTAGAAGGATCACAATAGAACTGTAGAAATGAAAGTCTGCCATTAAATCACCATGATATCCGTGGGGGTGGGAATCATATAATACTTACTCTATTTGCATCCATGTTCAAAGCTTGTGTGCTTTTGTTTTATGAAGGTAGTTAAGAAATCTTTGCTAATGCTTAGAGCATACAAATAAATAGCTTGATGATGGGAGTGGACTCCTACGGTACTTTTTATTTCAAAAGAACAAACAGTTGGGAGCAGCTCCAAGCCTCACTGCAGCTCAGATGGTATTTTTTCCCAGAGTGTGCTGAAAAAATTGTCGGCCTTTTCCTAATACAGCCCCATTCAAACATACAGCAGCAAACATACATTTTATTGCATTTTCTGGCTCTACTATTATATCATGTTTCACAAATAATGCGTGCAGCTGAAGCAATCAGAACTACTACTGCAGTGCCATGACACACCTTCAATTCAAACTGTAGGACCTGGGGCTCTTGTTTACCTGGCTTAACAGTACTTTGGCTGTGTTGTTGACTCAGTTTGACGTACAAGACTGAGTTGTCAAAACACTAGCATATTGTAGCGTCTGGAAGGACACACGGAAGACAACCGTGAGTAATTTGATTTGATTTGATTTATTCTTTCAAGCATGTAGAAACAGTTGATATGACAACACACATAATTTTACACATAATCCAATATCAATTTGCTTATACCTAGTACATGCTTGAATGGAGTAGGAAGAAGTCAGACTTATCCAGTCCTACCCCATGACATCATCTTACCATCATTGGTTTGCAAGCAATAAATGATTCACTTCTATTCTCTTCTACACCACACAAGTAATATATTAAAGAATTATTACA